CGAACCTGTGGTAATCCTCCTGCCTCAATCTCCTGGGTGCTGGGTTTACAGGCATGAGCCACCACACCTGCCCCTTTTGATTTTTCTCTTCATGCTCTTAGTACTCAAAATTTTTTAATAATAATAGTTTTATCTGTTGCTACAAGTTGAAGAAAAATAATAATAATTTAGTTTTAATGCAGATAAGCTAATTACATAGGTCCTCTCCTCCATTGTTATTAAAATCATAAGAGAATTTCAGAACCCCTCCTAACATTTATTAGACATACTACCATTTTTCAGATTATTTTGGGTCCTATTCAGAATATTTAACCTATAATACTCTTTAGTGGTGCACACCTGTAATTCCAGCACTCAAGAGGTTGAGGCAGGTGGATCATTGCAAGTTCAAAGCCAGCCTGGGTTGTACAGTGAGTTCAAGACCAGCCTGAACTACATATTGGGACTTTGTCTCAAAACCTGAATTTCAACAAATTTTAATATGTGAAGCTACCACCTGAAAGATGATAATAATCATCATGGGACATCAGCTGTGCCAGATGTCCCTGAATCTGATCCCCTCCAAGGTGAAAGCATGCCAAGAGTAAACTTCTGGTCTTCTGCGTGGATGGAAGGGGGTCAGTCACCTGGTTATTCCAGGCCATGGGAGATCTAGCCGCTTACTTATGAGCTTCATCCCAACTTCCTGTAATCAGCCCCACCCTGCAACCAAGTTTTAGAGATGGCTTCAGCCTCGCATCCTGGGCCTGTGAAGGGTTCCACAGTGCAAACTGGCTTGGGCTCCTTCCTTTAGACAACAGCCATTGTGTTTGGTTCTGCTGGGTTAGCTGTCCTACATTTATCTACGTAACAATGCTTTATATCCTCTCCCAAAGTTGGTTTTTTTGTTTTGTTTTTACAATGCGCTACTATCTCCTCTCCCACTCTTTCCTTATAGGTCTTTGCCCTTTGTTTTCCTTTACTGTAACTTCACTAGTATTTCAGGAAGAGTAAAAATAAACAAGTGGCACTCAAGTACAAGTGCCATTCTGGTTTTTCACATCTCAAGGTTGGATTAAGTATATGATTTCCACTTTCAGTGCCTCTGCAGATGGAACAAGAATAACTCTATTTTCATTATTTTTAAGAGATTAACAGAAAAATACATTTGCCCATAAGACAATGTAGGGTAACATCAAATTTATTTACTGTGTCACTCCTGGTTCATCCATCCATTCATTCACCAGTACTCACTGAGTGATTACTATGTCCTGCACATTTTCTAAATTCCAGGGACTTGGCACAGTCTCTGGTTTCATGGAGTTTCCACTATAGTAGCATAGATAAGCAGTACGCAAATATGTATCTTTTGCTAATCATAAGTTCTGATTGGCAATTATTTGTCTTTGGTTAATTCTAAAAATTGGGAAAGAATGTAATTAGGTATGCAGGATCTTAGAAATTAGTTGATCCTCCATAACCAAGAGAAATGAAATTATTTTTCCAAAGTGGACAGAAAATAAGGATCAAAGTTGGGTCAAAAGATCTTTGTAGACAAACCTTAATTGCATCATTACTGTACACAATCTAAATATGCAACAAGCAGAGAAACTTTAAGTATTATAGTCCATAAATACAATGTATTTATCTAGCATAGATGATATTTTTAGAATTTTCTTATGGTATGAAACTAATGTTTATCATAGTATGTGGAAAAAGCTGGACACAAAAAATATATTCAATTAAAATATCAAATCTACAAAAGAAAATACAAATCTTCCCAGGAAAAAACCTGGAAAGAAATGCACTAAAATGGCAAAATTTACTCTAGATTTATATATATATACACACACACACACACACACACACACACACACATACAACATCTTTAAAGATTGGTGAATTTTTTCTTTTAATTTTTAAGACAAAGTCTCACTCAGGTTGGCCTTGAACTCACTCTGTAGCCCAGGCTATCCTTGAAGTCACATCAATCGTCCTCCCTCAGCCTCCCAAGTGCTGGGATTACTGGCATGGTGCCACATGAGGCACAGGTCCTGCCTGGCAAAGGCAAGGCCGTGAGTTTGATTTCCAGGACAAAAGGAAAAAAAAAAAAGAAATATGAGCCAGGCATAGTGGTGCATGCCTGTAATCCTAGCACTTGGGAAGCTGAAGCAGAGAGGATCACTGCAAATTCGAGACCACCCTGGACTACAAAGTGAATTTAAGCCCAGCTCGAACTGTATAGTGAGACTCTGTCTCAGACAGACCAAAACGATGGAAATATTTTATGCAGTCATGGGGAGTCGGGCTTTTCAAAGGTGCTTGAATCTAGTTGGTAATGGATTCATTGTCCAGTGCTGGGATTAAGGGTATGAGTGGTGGCCTGCATACAATATAAAGGACAGAAACAGGCTTGTGTTCTCTCTCTCCTTTTGCTGTCTTCTGTCACCTTGAATGGTTGTCCCTCTGCCATGTGCTACCCTGCCTTGATGCCAGCTGAGCATGGGCTGAAACCTCCACAAACTGTGAGTTAAATAAACCTTACCCCCTTTAACTTTGGGTGTCAGGTTTTTGCCTCAGCAAGGAGAAAAGTAATTAAGACAGAACACATCATACAGCATGCTGCCCGTATGGCTGGAGTGCTGCAGATGTCTGTACATGATGGCTGATTCAGTGAAGCAGGGCAGGGCCTGAGAGTCCTTTCGGGTTAAGTTCCCAGTCACATCCGCTGTCTGGTACACATACCAGGTTACATAACACCTGGGACAAGTGCAGCTCAGCCCAGTCAACTGCACCCTCTAATCTGTGTGTCTAACCTCCTTTACTGATGCCACTTTTCTTGGGAGCAACAGCATCAGTTTCATCTTTGTATCTTCTACAGTGCTACTCTATGGAATGCATTCCATATGAAGGCCATCAGATAAGCTCCAACTGAATAAATGCCACCTAGCTTTCACAAGTCATTAACTTTTTTTTTTTTTTTTTTTGCCTTTTTCCTTTTTATCGGTACCAGGGATCGAACTCACGACTGCCTGCTTGTAAGGCAGGCGCTTATGCCGCTGAGCTAAATCCCTAGCCCCCGCAAGTCATTAACTTCTTATATGGGGATAGCCAGAATTGTTTCTGCCTTTAATTATTTTAAAAAGAAAAATATTCTTGAAAGTTTTGAAAGTGAAAAACCAGGAAAGGTTTAAATCTGTTTCTCAAGGGGCTGGGCAACAGCATAAGCGCCTGCCTTGCAAGTGTGTGGTCATGAGTTCAACCCCCGGTACCGATAAAAAAGACAAAAAAAAGGAAAGTGTTTCTCAAAAAGGAGAATTGTGAAAGCTTACAGTATACTCCAGTGTGTTTCTCATGCTGACCTATCAACTCTCAAAAAGTCAGTTTATTGGGGCTGGAGATTTAGCTCAGCGGCATAAGCACCTGCCTTGCAAGCAGGCAGTTGTGAGTTCGATCCCTGGTACCGATAAAAAGGAAAAAGACAAAAAAAAAAAAAAAAAAAGTCAGTTTATCTTCCAATGGGTTTTCATTCTATTTTTGTAAACAAATGAAAATTTAATTTTTATCCTGTGTGAAATTTGAAAGAAAAAAAATTTAATTAAAAAAATCATTCTGCTTTCCAGGTAAGTACTTTAATTAACCTTTTAAAAAACATATTGGAAACTGGGCATGGTGGCGCACGTTTGTAATCCCAGCACTCAGCAGGCTGAGGCAGGAGAAACACTGCAAATTAGAGACCAGCCTGGGCTACAAAGTGAGCTCAAGGTCAGCCTGAACTGCATACCAAGACCATCTCAAAAAGACCAAAACAAAAAAAAGGTAACTGCTTTTCTTAGAATGCACTTTCAATCTTCAAGCAGCGCTATAAAAATTATAAAGGCCATTTAGGAAATGAAAGATACACCATAAAATAATACTGGCCTGTTAAACTGGACCATATAAGATCATAGCCTTTCCAGTATCAGTAGGTAGATCTTTGGCAGGGTCACGTGTTTTTTCCTCTGAGTCTCTGTCATCACCCTAGTGAGTAACATGTAGTGTAAACACTGATTGTCAACCTGACTACACTGTCTTCCCAGCTGAGGACAGTGTGTTGATAGGGGAGCTCAGAGCTGTCCAGAAAGGAAACAGGTGAAATTATGACTTTCACTTCTACCATGTTTACCTGGGAGAGGAGAGCACATTTATTTCTTTGCAGTGATTTTGCCAATTATGACACAAATTATTTCTGAGAAACTAAAAGGATGGTACCTAAGCAGCAGGTTTTAAATCCTCTAATTGATTAAAGATAACCTAAAGTCTTGCTATTAAACATGGACACTGATTTATCATTTTTCCATGCCTAAATCTTATAATCTGAACAGCTACGATAATATGCAATATATTAACTAGTGTTGGTTTCCTATTATTTTGTTTTCAAGCTCTATCATTTTTATCCCTTTTTGGTTTTGTTTTTAAAATACAAAAGAAAGTCTAAGGAAAAATAAATATGCACAATCGATTTTTCACGTCTTGAGAGCAACGCATTCATTTATGGGGCCCCGGCGACTGCAGGCTAGTTTCACCCCGCAGTCACCTCTCGTACTGCTGCTACATATTCTGTTAAAGCTGCCTGAACACTGTTCAGTTAAAGCCACAACCGCGGCCAGCGATCTCAGTCGTTCCCCCGTGTCCCTGCCAAGGGACCAAAATGGCGGCGCTGACGTCGCAGGGAGGCCTAGGGCGGGGCACAGGACGCGGCCGATCGCGGCACCCACCGCCGGCCCGCGACCGAGCGCGGGTACAGGCTGTGGGGCGGCGCCGGGGGGCGCCCCGGCAGCGCAGCGGGCGCCATTAGCCGCCTCCATCACCGCCCGCGCGCAGCTCAGGCCCAGCCTCCTGGGCGCAGGGACGCCGAGGGCGGGGCGGCGGCAAGGACGCGGGCGGAGACGGCGCGGCGCGGAGGGTGGCGCGGCCCGGCCCTGTCCTCCCACGGGGTCGCGGCGGGCGGCGAGGGTGGCCACCCGGTCTCCTTCTCGTACCTTCCTTGTCTCTACCTTCCGCCATCTTGCCGCGGAGCGCGTCGCCGGGGAGACGGCGCGGGGCGCGCGAGATCCTGGGGACTGGCGAGCGCGCACTTTCCAGGGCGACATGACCCCGTGCGGCCGCCGACCTCCCCTTCCCAGTGCAGCTAGGTCGGAGCCCGGCGGAGGGGACGCTGGCTTTGCGTGGTCGTGATTGATGTGAGGACACACACACACACACACACACACACACGCACGCACGCACGCCCGCCTCCCTCCCTCCCCTCTGGTGCACAGGAGAAGGTCGCCTGCAAACGTTACCGCATCCTAGAGCGCGACCCAGCCGCGCGCGCCGCCCGCCGCCCGCCTGGCCCACGCCTTGTAACGGCGACCGCACGGCCGGCGAGGACGGGGCTGGGGCGCCGCAGGCCTGGACTCTGGACTCTTGCGGGGCAGCGTCGGTGTATGAGACGGTGTGCGACATGGGCGCTGTTGCGCGTCGCCAAGGCTGCACTTTCTGATACAAAATAGGTTCTCCTGGCCATAGGGCCCACGTTGTGCTCAGTGTCACACACGTTCGTGTGCTCCTCGTGGTGAAATCTGGTGTGACCGCCTGAATTCTAGTGCGAGGCTTTTTTTAAATCCCGCTTTCCACAAACTTTGCAGCTGTCGCACGACATGAAGTTTTTTATTATTTTGTAGAGAAGCTCACTATTCTCGTGTTTTCCTTTTTATTCTTTTGAATAAAAGGCCTAATGATGTGCTTCGATATTTTTAAACTTCGATGACAGTACTGACTTGATGTTATAGAAAAGCAACTTATAAACTGTTAACCATAAATACTACCAGGATTTTAAAATACAAAGTTTAGTATTTATTTTATTAAAGCCATTTTAATTGTAGTTCAATAATCAGTACATCTTGAAGCAAATTGTCTATATTTGGCATTAAGAAAGTTTTCTGTGGAAAATACTCATGTAGTGCTGGGATCTGCATTTTATTTGAAAGAATATAAACAATTGAATCATCGCAAAGGGGCTCTTTGCTAAAAAAACATTTACACAAAGTGAATACAAGTGTGTAAATTTTTAACGTCCCAAAATATGGAAAACTAATCATTAACATGTCAGTATGTCCTAGTTACTTGTTTTTAGAGACTCTCTCCATGCAGGTAAATGGAAAGCTTGGGAATGAGCACAGGAAACCCCAGCTCTGGTGGCTTGTTTCCTTCCCGATGCCCTTTCAGTCCCCCAATGCCTTTCCTCTCTCTACCTGTCTCCACAGTCCCCCTCCCACAGGCACATTTGTCCTTCCATGATTGTCGCGGACAAGGTCATCTCCTCCTTGAATCTTGGCCCTCTCCTCCTCTTCCTTGCTGGCCTGGTATTCACAGAGCTCTTCACTGTCAATTGCAATGACTGCTTCTACCCAACTGTAAGCGCTCAACTGGGCCTGGGTGCAGGCTTGGAAGCAAGGCCAGCACTTCAGAGGTTTAGGCAAGATCCTGAGATAACAGCCAGGGCTTACACAGTGAGATCCTTGTCTCAAAAACACAAAAAATAAAACGAAATGCTCGAGGATATGAACTTCTGTAGTCACCAATATATATTTACAACAGCTAGGACAATTTTCTTTCCTATTTATTTTAAGACAACATCTTGGTATATTGTCCAGGCCATCTCAAACTGCTGGCCCAAGTGAGCCTCCTGCTTCAGCCTTCTGAGTAAGTGGTACTATAGGCACATGCCACCGTGCCTGCTTAAAATTATGTCTTTAAAATCGATGCACAAGTTAGTCTTATCAATATTGTATTTTATTTTTTGGTTTTTTTGAGACACGTTTCACTATGCAGTTTAGGCTGGCTTTAAACTCGCAGTGATCCTCCTGCCTCAGCTTCCTCAGTGCTAGGGGTGCAGGCATGTGCCACCATGCCTGACCCACAATAATTTATTTAAAAAGACCTAGATTTAGCAGATTTGTTGCAAATAATACAGATTTTCATTTGCATTTTTTGATTCAGTAAAAACATTGGCAGTACATGTTTATAAAATGGAATCCTTATATAAACATTCATGCATAAAAACTAGTTACAATATTTTTAAGAACTTAACAGATTCCTCTGCAACTCTTTCCAGTTCTCTTTGTTTCTGTCAGTCTGTCTTTCTGTCTATATAGTACTAGGGATTGAAGCCAGGGCCTTTGCACTAAACTACAACCCTAGCCCTTTTATTATTTTTTATTTTGAGATGGGCCTTGCTAATTAGCCAGGCTGAGCTTGAACTCTCTATCCTCCAGTTATCGCATGGTGAATTCATCCCAGGTTCTTGTGTACAAGCAAAGCATCGCAAGTGCACACCCAGTGGTATGTGCCAAGCATCCACATTTGTCAAAGATCACAGAAGCTGTGCTCAGGGCAAGGTTGTACCTGCGAAAGATACCGCACAAACTGAAAAGTGGTGCCGGGTGACAGGAAAGGAGAAGCACTGCACACACGGAGTACAGCATGCAGCAGCGGCTGCCCCTGGGATGGATGGAGCTTTCAGGATTTAAAGGATGTGTACCTCAGCCCTGAATCGCTACCTGTGATTGACAGGGATGACTGACAGGTGCTGAGTCAACACATACCATTGTCCCAGAATTCACTCTGTTCTTAATTACATGCATGAGATGCAGTGTTATTCGTGATCCCTTAGGAAAGCTGGAGTGGAGTGAAGGTAACTATAGGTCAAGCTTGAAGATCCTTGTAGTGCGCTTTTGCCTAGAGTATCAGGTTTACTTATTTTTTGTTGTGAGTTTCTGTATCATAAGACCAAGCAAGGAGAATGTCCCCAGGGCGCTGTTTAAAATTAAATGGATTGCTGGGGGTTTAGCTCAGCCTGTCTGGCAAGTGTGAGGTCATGAGTTCGACCCCCAGTACCAAAATAAATAAATAAAAACAAAAAAATTAAATGGATGCAAAGGAGTGACATCCTTATCTCCATTATTTCTAACTGTAGCGTCCATCTCAGACTCCCAGAGTGTGGGGATTACAGCTCTCAATTTTTTAACTTTTTAAAAATGTATCATTGATTTAATAGGTAATACGACTATATACCTAAGGTAATACAGTCTCTAAATTTAACTTTTCAGAAAAGCTTGGTGTCCTTGTCCTCTCTGACCTTTTATACTGTTCAAATGCCCCAGGAAACCCTGGAGACTTCCACGTGCGGGTCCTGAAAGGCGGTCCTGGGATTCTACACTTCAGGCTGAAGTCAGGTCTACCCTGTCCTGTTTAAAACTTGAGTTCTCGCGAGAAGTCCCGTGGGACCTGTTCTGAATGGGTTCCAAGAGCTTGTGATTGACAGCTCCTTCCCCAGCTAGATCTGCCATGCCTATTCTCCAGTCCCAAAACCAAGTTAATGTCTACCTCCCTGAATTTGTATAGTATATTTAAAATAATACTGTTTCTCTAAGTCTGAATAATTAAAATAATATTTATTATTAAAATTAATATCACTAATATAAATATTTAATATCAGTAACATTAAAAATATTTAATGTATGCTTGGCCTAATCTAATACACAATAAGCCCCAAACTTGTAAAGATTCCAATATGAATGGATCTCAAATTATGAACATTGGCAGATGCCAGCGAGTTCCGGAAACTGCTCGCACGAGAGCCCAGGATGTCCGAAGCAAGAGGAAAAGCAGTGGTGACGTGGCAGGGACCGTTCGATGTGCAAAGCGACAACCATGGGAATAATGGAGGGGCTTGACCGAGGTGAAAAGGTGGTAAAGGTCCCGCACCCCCTCCAGTTAGTGCTTCTTGTCAGCTCTCTCGTGCAGTCCCCTGGATGCCAGCTGTTGTGCTGCATTGTGACATTCAAGATTAAAACTAGTTTATTTATAGTATTTGTGTTTGGTTTTTCTATGCTTTATAGTGTATATTGTGTCAAAGGTGAACGAGACTTACTTTATCAAACTTACCAGTGACTCCTATGTCTGAACACCTCCCAGAATGGAATTCTGTGAGTTGGGATTTACTGTACGTTTTTTACATCCACAGTACCTAGCCTAATCGGGCACATATTATGTGCTTATCACATACTGCCTAAGTAGCTAAATAGACATAAAAATTATAAAATTATTCTGGAAAACTTCACACAAGTGAAAATGATTATTCAAGCAACAGCGGCCCACCATGCTCATAAGTAATTATCTGCATTATGCTGATATTTGACCCAGCTTTCCACTCTGCACTGTGAAAACCTGACTGCTTGTTACGATACAATTTTAATTCTATTTCAGCAATATTACCTTACATCGCACAATAGCAAACTATATCCACTTTTCTTTATAATATGCTTTGTTGATCAACTAGATCAAAAAACATTAACAATGAAATATTAGAACTGAACCAAACTTTTGAACAAATGGACTTAGTAGACACCTACAGTGTTCCACCTCACACTCAGAATATACAGTCTTCTCGGCTGCACATGGAACATTCTCCAAAATAGACCACTACTAGATTATAGAGCATGTTTAAATAAATGCAAAAGAATTTAAATTATCTCATGCATATTACCAGACTGTAGTGCAATGAAATTGGGAACCAATGGCAAAGGAAGCCAGAAGAACTTCACAAACACAGGGAAATTAAATAGCACTTTCTTGAACAACCAATGGGTCACAGATGAAATTAAAGAAGAAATTAGACAGTTTCTACAATTAAACGATAATAACAATATAACATACTAAAACTTATGAGATGCAATGAAAGCAGTCCTATGAGGGAAATTTACAGTGATGAATGATCATTTCAGGAAAACAGAACAAACTCAAACAACCTAGTATTGAGCCTCAAGCTTCTAGGAAAAAAGAAGAGCGCCGGGGATTTAGCTACCGGTATAAGCGACTGCCTGGCAAGCACAAGGTGGTGAGTTCGATCCCCTGTACCAAAAAAAAAAAAAAAAAAGAAAGAAAGAAAAGAAAAAAGAAGAGCAAGTCAAACCCAAACCTTGAACAAGGGAGAAGATGATATGAATCAGACAAGAAATTAATTTGATAGAGACTAACAAAACAATATAAAGAATCAACAAATCAAAAGTTGGTTCTTAGCCAGGCGTGGTGGCTCACGCCTGTAATCCCAGCCCTTGGGAGGCTGAGGCAAGGAGGATCATTGCAAATTCAAGACCCGCCTGGGCTACAAAGTGAGCTCAAGGCCAGCCTGAACTGCACTGAGAGACCCTGTCTCAAAAAGACAAAAAGAAAAGTTGATTCCTTGAAAGATTAAATAAAATTCACAAACCCTTAGTCAACCTTGTCAAAAAAAAGGTAAAGACTCAAATTCATGCAATTAGGAATGAAAAGGATGAAATCGCAACAGATCCCCCAGATATCTAGAAGATCATCAATATCTAGTTCAACAGCCTGTATTCATAATAAGATGGAAACACAGAAGAAATGGTTAAATTCCTATATAATTTAAATTATCAAAGATGAATTAAGAAGATATAAAAATTCTAAATAAACCAGTATTAATCAGTGAAATTGAAGACATAATTATAAACTTACCAACAAAGAGAAGCCCAGACCCTAACAAATTCATTGCTGAATTGTACAAAAAATTTAGAGAAGGCTTAATGCCAGTACTTCTCAAATTCGTTAATGAAAATGAAAGGGAAGTAATACTCCCAAATTTATTCCTGGAAGCAAGCAATACCATGATACCTAAACCAGAGAAGGATCCAAACAAGAGAACTACAGGTCAGTCTCCCTAATGAACATGGATGACGAATCTCAATAAGATACTGGCAGGCAGAATGCAGCAAACCATCAAGAAGATTATATACCAGACTAAGTATGACTCATCCCAGGGAAGCAAGGTGATTCAACAAATGTACATCAATAAATATAATACACCATATCAACAGAGCTAAAGACAAAAACTATATGATCATTTCAACAGATACAAAAAAGCATTTGACAAAGCCCAAAACCCATTCATGACAAAAAAAAAAAAAAAAAAAAAAAACCTTCCAGAACATTGGAATAGAAGGTCTTTGTCTCAATCTGATAAAAGCCATCTATGACAAACCAACAGTCAACATCATACTATATGGACAAAAACTGAAAGCTTTCCCTCTAAAGTCAGGAGCAAGACAAAGATGTTCACTATCACTACTATTATTCAATATTCTGGAAACATTAGCCAGAGAAGTTGGACAAGAGAAAGAAATGAAAGGACTAAGGATAAGAAAGGAAGAAGTTAAATTACCATTATTTGCAGATGACACATTATTCTACATAGAAGACCCCAAAAACTCCATTGAAAGATTTCTAGATATAATAACCAAATTTAATAGCATAACTGAAAACAAAGTCAACACTCAAAAATCCTGTACGCAAATAACAAACTCAATGAGATAGAAATTAAAGAAACAACATCTTTTACAATAGCATCTCAAAAAATGAAATACCTAGGAATTGATCTAATGAAAAAATAAAAGACTTCACATTGAAAACAGTACTCTGAAAAAGGAGATTGAAGAAGATATTAGAAAATGAAAAGATATCCCTTGCTTTTGGGCAGGAAGAACCAACACAGTGAAAATGACCATACTTCCAAAATTGTTATACAGATTCAATGCAATTCTGATCAAAACTCCAACAGCATATCTCACAGAATTAAAGAAAACAATCCTAAAATTTATTTGGAACCAGAAGAGACATAGAATAGTAAAGGCAATTCTGGGCAACAAAAGCAAGGGAAGGGACATCATAGTCCCTGACTTGAAATTGTACTATGGAGCTACTGTGGTAAAAACTGCATGGGTACCAGCAAAAAACAGATCAAAGGATCAATGGAACAGAACACAAGATGTGGAAACAATTTTAGACACACTCCCCTTATCTTTGACAAAGGAGTCAAATGCCTTCACTGGAAGAAAGATAACCTCTATAGTAGGTGATAGGGGGCCGATGATATACATCAACTGTGCAGCACCTGCCTGGTAAGCGCAAGGTCCTGAGTTCAATTCCCAGTACCAATGAATAAATAAATAAATAAATAAATAGTGTGGAAAAACTGACTTTTCATATGCTAAAGATTAAAAGTAGATTCATATCTTTTGCACTAAACTAAAATTAAAATGCATCAAAGATCTAAATATTAAAACAAACATTAAGTTGTCTGGATTTAGAAAATAGAATAGGTAGAACTCTTGAAGACATTGGTGCAGGCAAAGACTTTCTGAACAAAACCCTAACACAGAGGAAATACACATAGAATCAACAACTGGGATCTCATCTTATTAAAAAACTTTTGCACAGCAAAAGAAATTACCAACAGAGTAAAGAGACAATTCCCAACATGGGAAAAATTTATTCCAGTTGTTACTCAGACAAAAGACTAACATCTAGAATATATAAGAACTCAAAAAAATCAGATCCTGAAAATTTAAAGACCCAATCAAAAAGTGGGCATCTGAGATGAATACATACTTCTCAGATGAAGAAGTAGAAATGGCAAATAAATATATGAAAAAGCTGCTCAACATCATTAATCATTTGAGACATACAAATTAAAACACTGAGAGTCTACCTCCCCCCAGAAAGAATGGCTGTCATCAAGAAATCAACCAATAACAAATGCTGGAGCGACTGTGGAGAAAAAGGAACCCTTCTCCACTGTTGGTAGGAATGCACACTGGTACAAATACTTTGAAAATCAGGGTGGTACTTCCTCAAAAAATTAAAACTAGAGGTTCCATTTGACCCAGCCATTTCCCTTCTTGGTAACTTCCCAAAGAATTAAAAGCATCATATCACAGTGATATATGCATGCCCATGTCTATAGTGGCACAGTTTGTAATAGCTAAATTATCTAACAGCCCAAATCCCATCAACTGATGACCAGATAAAGAAAATGTGATTTTTTTATACAATGGAGTACTACTCAGCCATAAGTAAGGACAAACTTGAGAGAATTCTAGGTAAATGGATGCACCTTGATGCCATACTGTTAAGTGAAATAAATCACACACAAATGGTTGGCCAGGGATTTACCTCAGCAGCATAAGCACCTGCTTGGCAAGTGCATGATCATGAGTTTGATCCCTGGTACAAAATAAATAAATAAATAAAAATTATAAAAGAGTGAAAAGATTTAAAAAAAAATATCACATGAAGGGGCTGGAGATTTAGCTCAGCAGTGTAAGTGCCTGCCTTGCAAGCACACAGTTGTGAGTTCAATCCCCAGTACAAAAAAAAAAAAGATTAAAAAAAAAATCACATGGTAGTTACAGTTCTGGTGGGAGAATGTGACAGTGAAGTCTTCACCTTTGGTTCCTGCCATGCAACCACTGAATTTTCAACCCCTGACTCCTCCTTACATGTTCCAGGTGTAGGAGGCTGGGGTAGCAGGAACTTTCTGGCTAGGCCCTAGGGAAGCAGCCACCCTCCGCAACATGGTGGCAGCTTCTTGGGGGACTGGCTCAGGTCTCTGTCCCCTGGTGCCTACCTTGGCTCCTACTCCAGTCATCTGCGTGGTCCCAGCAACAATCCAGGGCAGCAGCAGACCCTCCCCCAGGGTTCTCCAAGGACAGCTACACCATTTGGATCAGGACGTGTAAGTGAGAAAAAGAATCTCTAATGAGTTGGAAAGTTATTTCAAGCCTTCAATGCTTGAAGACCCTTGGGCTGGCCTAAAACCAGTATCTGTAGTGAATATAAGCCAACAACACAATACTCAAGCACCCACAGGCAAAAAAGACACCTTGGTTAACTTTTCTGAAATCCATCTGGAAGCTTCTTCATGTGTCAGGAACATCTTGAACAAAACTTTTACTTTGTAGTTAAGTTGAACCCAAAGTTGATGACTTTGAATAGCTAATAAGGTCTTCATATTTTTCACCACAGCAAGTGTTAGAGAAGGTAGGATAATTTGCATTATTTAGCTCTCTGGAAGTGCCTACCACATTTAGAAGATTTACAGTTTCCATATATTTAATATTACTGATCATGTAATGAACATCTGTCTTTTAATGTTTTTCCAATGTTTTAAAATAAAACATTTTGTCTTTCAAAAAAATTACATGGTTTCTCTGGTGTGAGAAACTGAAAATGTACCTTAAGACCAAATGTATAGTAGATATTGTGAAATAGGAAGATGTTCAAATGAGAAAAAGAACCAGGGAGGGGGATGGAGAAAGGAAGGAAAAAGAAAAACAAACAAGAAAACAGGAAAAAATGGAAACAAAGGTTTTGTAAATAAGTAGGAAGAGAGAGTTTAAAGGAGGGTAGAAGGGGAAAAAAAGTCAAGATGTATCATGTAAAGGTACAAATTCTGTATGATGAATGCTATAACACCTAAAATGTAACAATAAACTTAAGTTTTAAAAAGCATGTATTTTTTCCTGACTGCTGTGAAAACATTATTTAAGAATCTCATGCTCATTTTCAGAAATTAAGAATTATAAATTTATTTTTGAACCTCCCATGGGTAGTACGGACTATTATTAGGGTTAAATCAGAAAAGCAAGGGCATAGTTTGAGATAATGACACTTACCTAGTTAACTGTATTCTACAGAGTCAGTTTATATCCTTTGGCATGCTGAATTTATAGAGTAAAATTTCTGCAGCCATCAGTGTTGTGCCTGCAGGAACACCAGAAAATATTTCTTCTGAACACAGCTGATTTAGTTACCTTGGATATGTGGAAAGTGGAAAGGGGGAATGGTGAGAATAATGCAAAATGATAGCTAGAAAGACTTTGCCACCAAGATAATTAGACTCTCCTTAGACTAGGAATATAGTAGTTCCCTCTTGTCAGAGAAAGATAGGTTGTTTTTATTTATCACTGACTTAATAGGTAATACAACTTTACCTCTAAGGAAATGTAGTCACTAAATTAAACTTTTCAAAACCCTCAGGCAGCCTGACACACTATATATGCTATGGTTTTATCACTATATGTACATATTCATGGTAAATTTTAATAAACTAGGCATGTTAAGAGATTGACAACAATAACAAACAATAGATATTAGCAATCTCAGCATGAGATTTTTTAAGAATTTTTTTTATTTTAAAGAGAATAAAACAAAACAGAACAAAGCAGATCAGAACAAAACAACACAAGCAACACAGGATTTCAAAACAAGACAACAGGAAATCAAATGGCTACCATCATGTCTCCTGTGTTCTTCGAGATAGTTATCCATATCTTCACATACAATGAATTCAAACAAGACAAAATAGCATAAAACCAATCAAAACAAAAAGAACGAAAGCATTACAGTACTTCAAAACCAGACAGCAGGAAAATCAACAGGCTATCATAATGTCTCTTGTTCTCTTCAAAATAACTGTCCATACCTTCACATTTATTGAAATTAATTAATGCAAAACAGATTAAAACCAATCAAAACAAAGAATAAAAGCATTACTGGACTTCACAACAAAATGACAGGATATCAGCAATGGCTGTCATAATGTCAGCACAAGATTTTTGTGTCTGTATGGTAACTACTTTTAAGTCAGGTTATATGGTGGTGAAGTACTAGGTTGTTGAAACAGTCATGCTGTGACCTCTATTGTTATATTGTTATGTCCTGATTTATCTCAATCTCCCCCTTATTGTTTTAAAAAAATTATTTAGTCATTTCTTATGTTTGTCTCAATTAAAGAAAAAATTCAAAAAATTAGGATATATAAATAGTAACTCTTTTTGATTTCCTATTAACTTGTTTTGAAGTCCTGTAGTACTCCCACGATCTTGTTTTGACTGATTAGACTCTGTTCCATTCTATATGGTAGTATCAAGTTTGAAGACATAGGCAACTACTTTGAAGACAATAAGATTCACTAAGATACCCATTCTGGTTTGACTATTGTCTTCTTTGGAAGTCCTGTAATGTTTACAATGCCTAAGTTTTATTGGTCTTGTTCTCTACTGTTTTGTCCAACTTTATAATATCTAATGAGATAGACAATTCTTTTTAAGGAAACAAGGGACAACGTTGATAACCATTGTTGATAAACTTGTACTCTGTTCTACATCATGTGCTATGTCTATCCTTGGTATTGACTGACAGCTTTGTTTTGCCATATTTGACTGTATTCTTCCCCCCCCCCCAAAAAAGTAATAAGCACTAAGGAGTAATGAAATCCAAAGTGCGTGAATTTTGTTGTAAAAAAGAGAGGGAAAAAAAAAAAAAAAGAAAATGAGCTCTAACGGATATAACAGCAAGTGTGTTTAGGGGTGTTAAATAGCTGACTGTATCAATGTTTTTGGATCATTGAACACAGCTGTTTGCAGTCTACCTGTTTGAATGTCCACCTTGTATTCTTTGATACTGTGATTTGAGGAACTATTTTCAAGATGATAATATGTAATATACTAACAGGTGATTTCTTACTGTTATGTTTTTGTTTGTTTGTTTGTTTTGTTTTTTTTTGTAGTTCTGTATTACGTGTACCCTTACACCGCTTTGGTTTGTTTTGTGTTTTTCTCTTTTTCCTCTTAAATAAAAAAAAAAAAAGAAGATTTTTGTGTTTGTTCTCATCGAGAACTTTCATCTTTTAAGGAAAACTCTTCAAAGCTCTGTTTGGCACATCTGAATTGCCAGCATCACTCTGCTTGCATTTTGGGGCTACTACTTAAGTAAACTAGAATAATGTGAACACAACAGCACAAGACCATGACGCCAATCTGAAAACCAAGATGGCTACTAAATGAGTGCCAGGTGGGCAGCACATACAATGGGGATACGTTGGAAAGGTGGGCAGCACATACAATGGGGGTATGTTGGAAAGGTGTATTTTACATCACTAGTGGGACAGAGCAGGGCTGTGTGACATTACATCACCCTGCTCAGAATAGCTCTCAATTTAAAACTCACTAACTATTTAGTGCTGGAATTGCCTCTTGTCTATTTTCCTACTATACTTAACTATGAGTGAAACTGCAAAGTAAAACTAAAGATGCAGCAATTTATACTTTAAGAAAAAAACTGATTCCCTTTGGGCACTGCCATTGTATAGCCTCACGAGCCTAGGCGAGTCAGATAATCTTTTAGAAATTTAGTTAATTCAGAAAAATAAAAATACCAATATCTACTTTTGAGTTTTCTTGTGATTTAAAAGGCATAACTGAAAAGTTTAAGGAACTTGCAAGGCAATCACTGTCTTTAAGTGAAATTAACCCCCAGCTTTACACAGGAAGAGCACGTAACAGCCTAGTCTCACTTTGTCCTAAAATTTAGCTCTCATTTGGACAGTTTGCCTTTTCAGGGCCTTAAGCATATAGTGGGAGATGCTTTGACCCTAGCACACTCTTCCCTACCAAACCCTGAAGCCATGTGACATGAGGTCTAGGAGAGAGCTGATCATCTACAGTTTGTGGCCTTTTCTTGGCTTCCACTTCCTGTTTTTGTAGCTTTAATGTACCTAGATTCCTTGGGTCTTTATGAGGTGACCCTAATGTTCCTGTTTAACACGTGAAAAGGCTACATCTTCACATAAATGGTCTGTGTAAGTTCTCGCAGTTAATAAGCAAGCGAGCCAACTAGGTGTCTGGGTCTAATTTCGTACCCATCATGCTAAACTGCTTTACCCTTGTGAGGCCCTTGCACTGAGCTGCATCCTCAGCCTTTTTAATTGTCTATTTTGTGTCAAAGTTGCCCAGGCTGGAGTTGCACTTGTGAATCTCCGATCTCTGCCTCCTAGTGTTTCATGTTCTCTCTCTCTCTCTTTCTCTCTCTCCCTGACTCTCTAGTTCTCTTCCTTTTGGTCTCTTCAAAACATCAAGCAAAGCATTGGCAGACTCTTAAGTGACTTTTTTGGGGGTCTTTTTGAGACAGGGCCTCACTGTGGGGTTCAGGCTGGTCTGGAGTTCACGTTGTAGCCTTGGCTAGGTCCTCCTGCCTCAGTCTCCCCAGTGAGGAAGCAGAAAACAGCATGTACTTTGTCCTAGTCAGGAAAGACAAGGATTTCAACCAAGCACCTGGCCAGTGCTGAGTCCCCCCCATCTCTGTGGTTCTCCTCCGTCCCCTGCTGTGGACTAGAGTCTCCACTGCACCCAGGCTGCTGGAATAAATCTTACCCTAGACTCTCGAGCTCACACCCTTGCCCATTCTCTGGAAAGCACGTTTCTTTCTGTTCCTCTTTGAAACACACATTGACATGGTACTTACAGTTCCTGTCGAAAGTGACACATCTCTAGGGATTCGTTGCTGAGCCTCCATCATTTTTTCATTGAAAATGAGGACAGGAGACATAGAAGAAGCCCCCGTATCTCCTCAGCTCTCTGCTTGGTTGGGAAGCATGGATAGGGGCAGAATTGGAGAACCCCGTGGGGTCCAGTATGGGTCCTCCAGAACCAGCTTCCCTCCCACCGAGAAGCACTTCTCTCAGTGCCCTTCCCTGTGGGACAGGGGCTCTTCAAATTAATAGTAATAATAATACAACTGGCCATGTGGCTCAGTGGCAGAGCATTTGCTTAGCATGCCCTAGGTCCTAGGTTCCATCCTCAGCACTGCAAAAAGTGTTTTAATTAAAATAAGAAGAAGAAGAACCAGGCATGATGGCACACACTTGTAATCCCAGCACTTGGGAGGCTGAGGCAGAACTGCCATGAGTTGAGACCAGCCTGGGCTACATAGAGACCAGCCTCTGGCAGGGAGGTGGCAGTGACACTATGTGGTCACCAAGCTCTGCCAGTGAGGCGCGGTAAGTACACTCTGGGATGTTTGCGTAATTGTGAATCAACTAATATCACCTTTTTCAGAGTGTGCCCCTATCATAAAGACACGTGTCTATAATTACAGGTAGATGCATATATATAACTGGGGTGTGTGTGTGCGTGTGTGTATGTATTGCTGAGGACTGAACCCAGGGCTCTGTGAATGCTAGACAACTGCTTTTCCACTAAGCTATGCTCCCCACCTAAAGACATATTAATTTTTAATTGTTGCATAAAATAAACAGGAAGCTATTAAAAAGTGAATTTGTACAATATTTTGCATCAATATCAATAATTAATAATTTGCATCAATATCAATAATCCTAATACCATTTTGTATTGTAAAGCCTCTTTTGGCTTTAAATTTGTTCATAAAATGACTCTGACTCTGTAGGCCTGACTTGCACTTAATAAATATCTGCAAATAGCAATCAGTCACAGCTAACATTGTTATGCAGTAGAAGCTAACTCCTTGATAAAGTTCAAGATTGTCTACAACTTCTCTACAATAACAAGCTGAAGAATCTGTAACCTCTTCCTCAACAGGGAACACAACTAAGACACACAACACAAACATACAATGGTTAAGAAAAAAAAACAACCTTCAAGATTTTGCTGGGTTCTTCTTTTATTCCCACTTTCCTTTTTCTTTGCAGGTCAGCTCTATTTTCAGGAAAGGGAAGGGAAGGTGTGAGGCTGGAAATGAACAGTGGTGACAGGAGAGGTTAGAAAGGGAAGTTATTTTTAGGAAGGCTTGAAGGGGAAGAAGTGAGTTAAGCTGGGAGCTGGCGGTTAGGGAGGTCAAGTTGAGGGAAAACTGGTTTAACCAATGAAGAATTTGCCTAATTCTCTAGTCCCTCTTATTTCTTCTTACATACTTACATGATCCTTCACCAGCAGGTATCACAAGGAAGGCGGCTGCAAACTCCTGGGAGTGCTCACGTACCTAAGCCTCCATCTCCACTCTGGAGGAGGCAGATTCACTCAGCATTCAACTGGGGACAGCCTTGCACACACCAAGCACATGCTCTGTCACTGATCTTGACCCACAGCCCCCACACTCACAAATTATTATGGAGAACCCTCTGGGTGCAGGACCATCTGGTAAAGTTCCTGGGATGACACAGACAGGACAGCTGTTTTATATTTGCTGAGATTTTAAAGTTGTAAGTTGTAAGCCTGATTTTGTGTTTTGGTTTGGTTTTTATCACTCTTCCTTTTTTGTTTTTTTTGTTTTTTTGTCTTTTTCCTTTTTATCGGTACCAGGGATCGAACTCACGACTGCCTGCTTGCAAGGCAGGCGCTTATGCCGCTGAGCTAAATCCCCAGCCCCTTCCTTTTTTTTTTTTTTTTTTTTTTTTTTGTCCCAAAGTTTACTAAGTCAATGACCCACAAAGCTGGCTGCCCACCAAAGCTACTTATTCCTCCAAATGGTGAATGGTGCATACCATGTCTACTCTTACCATGGCCACAGCACACCGAACAATCGCCACAATGTGTCTACAAGGTGTCAACTGGCAATCCAGAAGTACTGCACTAGATCAGACTTCTGAGGTCTTTCCTGGGAGACAACTGGTGGGTTACTGCATTTGTAAAGAGCAAGGGATTGTAAATGTGAGCAATCTGACTAAGTTTATTCACTAAGCCATTTTACTCTAATGTCTTAAGTGGGTTTCAAAATCTTTGAATTCTTAGACCTTTAACTAAATAGAACATTAACTATAAGTTTAGTACCAATGACAACTTATGACTAAATGTATTACTACTTGTTACCTCTGGCCTGATCACACAATTTTTAAAGTGGTGGTACCAAGAATTTAATAAATACTTTAAAAGTTAATGGCGACAAACACAAAACCTTTCCCAAGTGACTTTAAATAATCAGGCTTATTTAGAATTCAGGCTCATAAATATTTTCCTTTTAGGGCCTTTCTTCAAGATGTGAGTTTCTAAGAGACTGTAACCTTGTCTTTTTTTGTGTTGGTTATTTTTTAAAAAGTGAACAACCTGATGAGAGAGTCAGAGCCCCAGAACCCTGACTGGTATTTCTATTTTTGCTCTGGTGTCATTTAAGAATGTGAGGCCTCTAGGCCTCCATTTCTTTCTAATAGCAGCTACAGACCAAGATGGCCACCCAGGAGCGCCGGCCCACTTCTCAGCTCAACAAAGAAACAAATCAAAAAAAACAACCAGTATTTCACTGGAGCATTTGGGGCAGAATGGCAGTGTTCAGGGAGAAAGATAGAGTCATGGCAGAGCACAGTGCTCTATGACGGCTTCATAGAGAAGGGAACTGAGCATGTAGAATCCACCAAAAGGGATTTCACAGTGCAGGGAGGGGACAGGCAGGAGTCCCTGTTAGTTTCCACTTCCACTGCAGAGACCTAAAGCATTTGCTACATGGAGAAGACTGCAAGTGTTGAGAAGCAGCTGGACAAAGTGTCCTGAGCAAGTCAGCCTCTATAGTCCTCATAAAGCCCCATTCAGCTCTAAACCCTGACTCAGTGGCCCCCATCTACCCCTCAAAACCCTCCCACCCTGTTAACAAGCATGCAGCACTTCGGCCTGCTGGGCCACTGGCGCTAGCTCAAAACTGACAGTGAGTAACTAACTGTACCCGAGCCAGTGGCGAGGGCCAGGCCCCACAGCCACCTGGTGACTTGCAGATATCACCAATGTTTATTACAGCTAAAGCAGCTGCAAGGGCACTACACTAAAATACCGCCTGAAACCAAAGCCAACACAGCCGATCTAGCCAGTACCCCAGGATGCATCACCGCAGAAAGCCTTTTGTGTGGAAACCGCCATATAAAAGTGGTAGAGGCAACAGGTGGACCAGATGTAGGATCACCAAGATGGGCACACAAGAAGCAGAAAAAACAAGGTAACCTACACAAGGACTATAGTGTAGACCTCAAAGAAAATGAAATTCATAAATTGACTGACAAAGAGTTTAAAAGCATGATTTTAGGGAAACAATGAAATACAAGAGAATGCAGTTTAACAAAATTGGAAAGACAATTCATGATATAAATGAGAAATTTAGCAAAGATAGAAATCACTTTAAAAAACAGAAATCTTACAGCTAAACAGTTCAATAAATAAAATTTAAAAATACAGTATAGAGTCTTAACAATGGAAATGATTAGGCATATGAAATAATTTCTGAGCTTGACGACAGGTCTTTTGGAAATAACCCAATTAGGAAAAAAGAAAGGGCAGTAGGAAGGAAGGAAGAAGGAAAATAAAAGCCTTCAAGATTTAGGGAACACCAAAAAATGAAGCATTACCTTATACTGTGGGTGTTCCAGAGGAAAGAAGAGAAATGACACAGAAAAATTTACTCAATGAAATAATTAATGAAAGCTTTTGCAACTTTGGGAAATATACAGGTACCCAGATCTGGGAAGCTCAAAATTTCTTAATAGGTTTGCCCAGAAAATATCTTCTCAGAAGCATATTATAAATTGTTGAAAGTACAAGAAAAGAATTCCAAAAACAGCCACAGAAAAGGGTCAAGTTCTTTACCAGAGACTCCCCTATAAACCAACTGCAGACTTCTCTGCAGAAACTTTACACGCTGGGAAAGAATGGGATGACATTTGGAGCAGGGTGGCAGAAGGATGCCAACTGAGAGTACTACACCTAACCGAGCTGTCCTTTGGAAATGAAAGAGAAGTGAAGACTCCAAACAAGAGACAGCAGAGGGAAGATTCACCATCAGATTGCCTGATGAGAAATGAAGTAAAAAGGTTGTAATTATCATCAAGAAAACATAATGAAGTACAAAACACTACAAGTAGAGCAAATTTGCAAAGGAGAAAGTGATCTGGGCATGGTGGCACATATCTAGTAGTCCCAGCACTTTGAAGGCTGAGACAGAAGGATCACTACAAGTTCGAATCCGGCCTGGGCTACATAGTGAGTTCAAGGCCAACCTAAAGTATGTAGACATACTTTAAAAAGCAAAACAAAAAACAAAAAAGCAAAAGTAAAAGCAAAAAGCAAGAAACACGCATGGTACACTGTGATATTTCAGTTCACTTATACAATGTGTATGATCAGATCAGGGAAATTAGTATACCTGTTACCTCCAATATTTCTTGTTTCTTTGTGCCAGCAACATTCAAAATTCTCTCAACTAGCTATTTTAAATGGAGCAATTGAGGGTTATCCACCACTTAAAAATAGTAATAATATCTTTACTACTTGGTAATACTATGCTTTCAGGTCTTAGGATGACAATTATGATCTCTTCTGTAAGTATCACATGCTAGGTAGGATCTGAAGATCAAACATGTCAAGTGAGATCATGGTCTGTCTGTTCTGTATTGCTGTCATTGAGTACCTGAGCCTGACGAGTTAATAAAGCACAGAGGCTTACCTGTCACAGAGCTTTGCAGGAGAGGATATCTGAGAGCTTGGTGATGCTGACTAGTAGGGGCCTCTGTGTTGCATCACAAATGGTAGAGGGGCAACCAAGCCTTGCAAGATACAGGGAGAGAAAATTAGGCCAAACTTCATTCTTCTGTCATCTGTGACAACAACATAAATTCAGGCACGAGGACAGAGCCCTGGTGACCTTATTGGCTCATAATAGTAGCTACCTCTTAGTTCTATGCTTATGTGTGTATTTATTTACATGTGCTGGAGACTGAGCCCAGGCCTCTGCACATGCTAGACAAGCACTCTGCCCTGAACCATGTCACCAGCATAGACCCCTCCCCTAACACTATTACAAAACCCTCTCAATTTAAACATGAGTTTTGGGGAGGTTTTTGTTTGTTTGCTTTCAGAGACAAGGTCTTGCTATGTACTTAAGGCTGGCCTTGAACTCACTATGTAACCTAGGCTCACCTCAAACTTGCAGTGATCCTCCTGCCTTAACCTCTTGAATGTTAGAATGATAAGCATGTACCACCATGCCCAGCTGGAGGGGGTACTTAAACCATAGCAATCACTGTTTTCATAACGTTATAGTCAGATTCCAATTCCAATTCAGGGTGTACATACCTATGTACCATCTAAGCCTGTTGCACACATGTCTTGTATAAGCCATGCAGAGCTAAACTATCCAACCTTGAACTCTCTTGATCCTTAATGACTAGTGGCCCTCAAAACACTACTGCAAAACATAGATAAGAAAGTTCTCAGCGGGGCTGGGGATTTAGCTCAGCGGCATAAGCGCCTGCCTTACAAGCAGGCAGTCGTGAGTTCGATCCCTGGTACCGATAAAAAAGGAAAAAGACAAAAAAAAGAAAAAAGAAAAGAAAGTTTTTAGCAAGATATATGCCCATATTTAAATGGACTATGCCTCAATATCATTCTTCTAATGGGGTGTGGTAGGGCAGCCCTGTGATTCCAGCACTCAGGAGACTGAGGCAAGAGGATTGCCATGAGTTTGAGGCCAGCCTAGGCTACATGGTCAGTTCAAGTCTATCCTGAACTACATAGCAAGATCTGCCCCTGCAATACAACTCTATGTGCTTTTAAAAATAAAATTACTGTGTTTTATTTAGAACAGTTTTATGTTTATGAAAAAAGTAAGTAAAAAGTACTATCTTCATATATCTCCTTTTAATCCTCCCAACTTTCCCTATTACTGACATCATGCATTAGTGTAACCCCATTCTTTTTATCTTATAATATTTAAGTAATTGGAGACAGGCTTTACTTTGGCAAATAAGTAAATAAATACTGTACTGATCTTAAGCAGTCCAATCTGTTAGTTGCTGCCAGCGTCACATTGGTGTCACTGATAGCCACACTAACGTTGTTTTATTTCATAGAAATTCCGGTGTTAAATAGCTGTTCAGTTTGTTGGGGTCACTGTGTATGAGCAGATATGTTAAAGAACCACTGAACTGTATACTAAGCTTGTATCCCTAATGCTGCCCTTGACTCTTGACTTTAACTGAATCTCTTAACTGAAACTCTGGGTTGGAGTGCAAAATCTGAAACAATGCTTCTCAGTTCAAGATTTTATTCACTGATTACTCCTTTGTTTCCCAAAGTGAGTGGAAGACTATTTTGGATGGCTCACAACTTTACATAGTTCTGTATTTATTTGTTTGACTTTTAAGACAGAGTCTTGCTACGCAGTTCAGATTGGCTTTTAACTCAGTGTGTAGCCTAGGCTGGCCTCCAACTTGCGGGGATCCTCCTGCCTCAGCTTCCTGAGTGCTGGAATTACAGGCGAATGCCACCAAGTCCAGCTTGGGAATTCTTTTAAATCTATATTCTCTAAATAACTTGGTTCAATTCATAAGCAAGTACATTCACATTTACAGACGAAAGACATAAGAAAAATAGGGCCTGGAGATTTAGCTCAGGGGCCTAGCAAATATGAGGTTGTAAGTCTGATCTCCGGTACCACAAAAAAAAAAAAAAAAAAGAAAGAAAGAAAAAAAAGAATATGTCAGAGAAATGCCCAGAAGTCAGGAAATTCAGAGCAAGAGCAATTAAACCTGATTCCAAGATGCATTCAATATTTCTGGCAACTAGAAAAAGTCTACAGGGCCAAATTTGTGACTAACGAGAGGGGTTCATTGAACCAGTGTTAATGCTTTTTAGGCCATAACAATCTCCTCCTGCTAGAAGGTATAGTAACTTGATATGTTGACCATGAACTTAGCCTAGGATTTCAATCGTGGCTCATCCCTAAGTAAAATACTGCCAGGACCCAGTCTCTGGGCAAACTCTGTCCACAGGCTCAGCCACCTCCAGCCTGGTGCACGGAGAGAAGCCTGATCTTCACTTTTACATGAAGTTTCCTTCCCGCATCCCAGTAGCTAAAGCAAGGGCTGTCTCTGCTAAGCCACACTGGGATGTGTAAGGGCATGAACAATGATATGTCTTAGTCACCTCAGTAACCAATATCTTTGTCGAATGCCTGAAACAAATATTCACTGAATCAAATATTTGAATGAGCCACACGCAGTCTGCTAAAGACCATCTTAAAGTATCAGTCACTTGAAAGACTTTCATCAGTCCATTGTTCTGTATTTTATCCCTAAAAGTGAAGTGCCAAACAACTTGGAGCCAACATCTCAGTTCCTGACATGCGTTCCAATATAATGTTCTATTTCTTCAGCTTTTTTGTTTGTTTGTTCCATATTTGGTGGGCCTTTTGTGCTTTTTAATTTTTTTTCTAAAAATTTTTATTGCTGCATGTCTGCAGCCCACAATGATTCCACATTGTGGGAGTCGGCACGTGTACATAGTACCTCTTAATTCCTTTTTACTTTTCCTTGTCCTTTCCTTCTTGCTGCTCCCTCCATCTCTTGATCCCCTTCCCATTTGCAAAAGATCTTCCTGTTATCTGTCTTTTATTCTACCCTTTACATTACGCATACTTTGGGCTTCTCATGTAAGAGAAATCTCATGCTATTCAAAGAGTGGACGGAGGACTCTCCTGCGAACAGCTGTCCCTGTGTGGTAATGACCTGCCAGGGAAAATACCTGCTTTTCCAGGCAATGAGTCTGTGTTCAAAGAGTCACTCACTAACCTCCGTCTAAGTTTGGATAGTCTTTGATGAAACTTTGTTGTTTCTTTATCAGAAAATTTAAAAAAAATTTTTCTTAGCTCATGGGAAAATCAGTCCTCAATTAATTGTAGTCCACTAAGTATTCAGTAATATCTATTACCTTCATTACTTTTAAAAGATAATAACCACTGTTTAGAATCCTATGTGCTAGGCCCATAGTCAACATAACATGCAGGGCCTTACACAGCCACAGCGTGGAGAGTATACTTGATTATTTCTGCCTGGCACTTTAAGAAAAGTGAGGCTCCTTATCGAAGGTCCCAAAGCATGCACGGTTACACTACTCACCTCTCTCTTCCACTCATGTTTATAGCCCTGGTTCTCTTCATTTTCATAGTGTTGTACAAGTACAAATTTCAGTAAAAAGTATTACTCTTCAGTTTATAAATCAATTTTGTACTAAGTCCTTTTGTAATTTTTTTTTCCTTATGGGTCTCTCTTATCTGTGTTTTTCTAAGTGGAGCATATGAGCACTGTGGTTTTTTATAGTTACTTCTATGATACCCAACAGATTCATTCCTCAAATGTGCCTGCCTTTCTCTATGTGTTTTGATGAAAGTTTTTAATGTACTGCACCAAGCTTGCAAGTTACAATACACACACATCTACTATTCTCACCTGGGTGGTCGTGAAATAAGATTAAGTGATTAAAGGAGAAAAGGATGAAAAAATGACTTTAAATGTATTATATACATACACCGACTCCCCGCAAGGAACATAAACACTATGTACTAGTAAAAATTTAAAAAAAAAAAATCAAGCGATTAAGGCTATGTATTTCACAACTTTCTCCCTAAATAATCATACCCGCTGTTGAAGCACCCTAGCAACTAAACAACAATGATGCGCTCCAAACTGCATTTCAAAAGGCAGGGACTGAAGGGAAGCCTGAGCCTCTCTGCTTTTCCTGAGGGCCGCTTGTTGTTTGGGGAATGAGTCCTTGGCTCAGGGATTGGAGTTCTTATCTGGCTCACCAGCTGCCGAGGTTTCAAATGACAGTGACAACTCAACTTTCTGACCTGGTCACTGTAGAGTTACTGGGCATAGAGGGAATAGCGGGGAAGAACCGTAGCTTCTGTCCCATTTCGCCTTCAGCAGCCTACCAGTCTAGCTGTCTCCACCGCAAGTATTTTAAATATTAACAATCCTGTCTCCTGCACCAGAGATCTTGAGTTTTGTTTTTGTGTTATGATACTGGGACTGAACTCAGTAGTGCTCTAGTGCTGAATGATAACCCCAATCTTTTGTTAAAATAACATTTAACTTTGAGAATAATATTACTAAATTCCCACAGACTGCCTTGAATTTGTAGTTCTTCTGCTTCAGCCTACCAAGTAGCTGGGATTTCAAGCTTTCACCATCACACCCAGTTCCCACTTAAAATTTTTTTCTAATTTTTGTTCATACAGATTTTATTTTGTTTTTTCAATTTTTACTTCTTGTTAGTCCGTGTTTATAGCACATAATGATTGCATTCCTCCTGAGGACTAGCACATGTACATAAAACATCTTATGCATCTCCTTTCCCTCTCCTCCTTCTTCCCTCTCCACTTAAAAATTTTAAGGAATTTTATATTGTTGTAATATGTGTACTATGTGCTTATAAGCACCAAAGCCTCAAAATCAGTAGATTTTGAATAGCATTATAGACAGAAATAGATCTCTGGGTTTATTTATTTGCATCTATATGCATTTATATGTGTGCTTTCCATTGCTGAGATGGGAGCGCGTGAGACCAAATGGAGAAGGATAATTTTATCCAAATGCATAATCAGTTGATGCGCGCTCTTCTTTTTCTGTTCCAACCACTGTCACTACTTTCCATCACTTGATATCTCAGATTGAATTTCTGCTCTTGCTATGTTTAGCATTTATTTTTAACTTGGCCAACAGACTTACTATGGAGCCATGTGAGTGTTGCTATTTTAAAATAAATAATAGTTGTCCCTATTATTCCAGAGCCCATTGGAAGGCCTACAGAAAATCATCGGGTGTCTGTTTTGCCCCACAGCACATGTTTTGGGACCTCAGATAATGACCTGAAACACACACTGACCGAGCTCCTCCTGTAGGTCCAGCAGTGTACTGTGGCTTATATAAGTTTTCTCAGCCAATCTTCAAAATGTAATCCTGGGTTGGCAGGGATTTCCTGCCTTCCGAAGCACACTGTACCTCCACATAGAATTATAGAGCTGTGCAGAGAGGGCAGAGATCACCGGTATTCCTGCCACTGCGTCCTGAGTTCAAATCACGCTTATCTGTCACATCTGCACGAGTAGGGGCACATCACCTAACCTCTCCCAGTCTTAGGTTTTTCATTTATAAAATGAAAACAGAACTTCCTCGCTGAGTGTTAAGAAGAGACAGCAATTGAGTTGAAATTGCATATTAGGCACTATAGTGTCTGCCTGAGCAACAGCACTATTTGTGTATTTATTTACTACGATACTAAGGCTTGAATCCAAAGCCTTTGCACTGAGCTACATTTCCTGGCCTTTCATAAAATTCTTTTGGGACAGGGTCTCAATAAATCACTAAGTCAACCAGGCGGGCTGGAACTATGATACTCCTGCCTCAGCCTCCGGGAGTGCTTGCACTGCCACACTCGGCCTGAGGTGTTTTGTTTTGTTTTGTGTCCTGGAAAAGAAGAAAGAAAATGCAAAGGGTTTGGGGAAGACACAGGTCTCTGAGGGTCACTGCGGAACTCCTGGAACACCTTCCAGGTCTTTCAGTGGAGACTTTTCCTGCGTGGTCCCCAGTTACGTTTTGACAGAATATTAGCCATGAACCAGGGTGAGCACGCAGCTGGATCTACACTCCGAGTTGGCCCAAGGCTCTTCCCGGTGGCCTCAGTACTGCCCCAGAACCCGGAACTTCAAGAAAGCCTGCAGAGTCTTAAGAGGGATTGGGCTTGCCTGTCCTGCTCCTGCGGCGCTCCAGCCTGCTCCACAGTGGCCAAACAGACCCTGGTGCGCAGCTGCAGGGCGGAGTGGAGGAGCCCAGGCAGCTGAGGTCTGGCAGGGAGGAGGAGGCAGAGGCCTCGCTCTTTGCTGAGCCCCGGCTGCTGCCCCAGACCCGGCCCTGTCTCAGTTACATCAGGGGAGCTCTAGCTCCCGCTCTCTCTGCTTTTTTTTTTTTTTTTAATTTTATTTAAGGAGAAAGAAAAAGCAGAGAAAGGGTACAAGTTATACAGATTTACAGAAAAAAATAAACAGTAGGAAATCACTAGTTAATGGATAACATATTGTAATCTTAGAAATAATTGTTCAAGTCACAAAATTAAAGCTTGTAAGGTGGACATTCCAACAGTGAGACTGCAAACAGTTCTGTTCAATGATCCAACAAAACTCAGTGATATCATTATCTATCTTATACACTTATATATACATGCAGTTATATCGTTTAGAGCATTTTCTTTTCCTCTCTTTTGCACAATGACAATTACCCATTTTGGGTTTTGTTGCTCCCACAGTTCTTATTACTTTTTTGGAAGGGAGTAGAACCAAATGTGACATAACAGAACAGAGTCAATCAAATCAAAAGGGTGGACATAATAGATAATGTAAAAGCATAATACAAGGTGATCAACAATGGTTACCATAATGCCTCCCGCTATCTCTAATAGAATTGCCCATATCATCAGTTAAAATAAAATTGAACAAAACAGTAAAGAACATAACCGACAAAACCAAAACATTGGAGACATTATAGGTCTTCAAAAGTAGATAATAGTCAACGAGAATGGGCGTTATAATGAATCTCACTATTTTCACAGCTGTTGCTTAAACTTTCGAACCTGGTACTATCAAGCAAAACAGAACAGGGGGACATCAGTCAAAAACAAGATGGTGAGAGCAATACAGGGCTTCAAATCAAGATATTGGAAAGTCAAAGTGGGTTACTATAATATATCCTGCTATTTTTTATTTATTTTTCCCTTAATTAAAAGGATAAAAATAAAAAAGTAAATAATGGAGTGGAGATTGAGATAAAAGAGGGCATAACAGCAAAACAGCGCAGATCAAAACATAACCATTTAAGCAGAATAGTGTTTCACCACAAGATAATCCTGACATAAAAGTAGTTACCATATTGTCTCTTTCCTTGAAATCTTTGAGTATAACTTCGTATACTGTAGCATCAAATATATCAAAACAATGTAAAACCATTTAAGAGAATGACAGCATAATAGGGTATTTAGAATCAACAGAAAATGAACAATGGTTTCTGTATAATCTCCTTGTCTTTAAAAGTTTTTGCTTATACTGTCATACATAATAAAATCCAGTAAGATATAACCTGTTTAGACCAATGGAGACAGAAGAACAAAAGCTTGATGAGACTTCAAAACAAGATGATACTAAATCAGCATTACCTATTAAGACGTCATTTTCTCCAAAATAGCTGTTCCTATCATCCAACCTTCTCTGCATCATTTCTGTTGAGCTCTTTTTCTATCATTAGTTGTCAGTTTGTCTTCTTCATTTTGTTCTCTGCTCCATTCATTGTGGCCTCTCTGCCACTATTTCTGGATTCTTTGTATTTTTCTTTTTTAGAATATCCTGTAGTATTCTCTGTAGAGTTGAATGGGCAGTTGCATATTCCCCTAGTTCCTCTTTATCCTGGAAGCACCTTGTTTTTCCATCAATTTCCAGGGATAGTTGTGCAGGATATATCAATCTTGGCTGGAGATTATTATCTTTCAAAGCTTGAATTATTTCCCCCCATGCTCTTCGTGATTTGATGGTTTGTGCAGAGAAATCTGCTGTAATTCTGATGGGTATTCCCTTGTAAGTGGTCTGTTTCTTGTCTCTGACAGCTTTTAATATTCTGTTCTTGTATTGAATTTCTGGAATTTTAATTATTATATGCCTGGGTATTGCTCTGTTTGGGTTGTAGGTGGCTGGGGTCCAGTATGCTTCATACAACTGAGTATCTTTACCTTTTGCTAAATTAGGAAAATTCTCCTGGATTATTTCTGTGAGTAGCTTTTGTAGTTCATTTGTTTGTGTCCCTACTTCTTCTTTTATGTTCTTAACTCTTAAGTTATGGATCCTCTTATCATCTTCTAGTCTTTGTATTATTGCTGTTTGTTTCTTTGTTACTTTCAAGAAGTTTTTCATTTCATTCTCCCATATTACAAATCTGCCCTCCAGTTCAGATAGTCTGTCCTTAGTTTCTTTCAAGCTGTTATGCCAGTTTTCGATAGAGTTTTTAGTTTCCTGGTAGTCTCTTTGAACCTGCTTCACGTATTCTATGCTTTCTCTATTTTCTCCATCAAACAATTCTCCCCTCTTTTTCTGATCTTCCATTCCACCATCTGTTTTTTCTTGGGTGGTGCTTAGCATTTCTCTAACTATTTTGCTTATTTCTAGCTTCAGGTCATTAATAACTTCATTCCTGAACTGATCTA